CCTACAGTCCAACTCAAACCTGCACTTTTCATCCGAGCTTGTGCTCGTTACAGTCACATCGTAGACGGCGAGAAAGTCACATACGTCAATTGTAAGCACTAAACAGAAATGACAATATTCGATCGGATCATCGGCAACGAGGGGATTTGTTTCGAAGCGAGCCAACTTAAATTACGTTGTCGTCGTCTCGAAATATCTGCACAGACAAGACAAAGACAGGTGCAATTTTTTTTTGTTTAAATTCAAAATCGCGCGCGTATGAAAAAATGTCTATCCAGAAATATTATGTAAAAATGCATCCTCTAAGTATTGAATTTTAAACTTTAGAATTTAAGAAATTTCGTATTAATGGTGAAGGAAATTTCATATAATTGAATGATAGATTAGTAAACAGATAAACAGAGAGTCGGAGCGAATTAAAGCAAAACATTTTCTTTTAAGCTCTCTCGCCTTCAAAAAAGAGATGCCTCTAAAATTGTTTACTAACTGCTTATTTCTTTTACTGACAATTCATTCGAGAAAGATGTATAGGCCCGGCTTTAGGTAAATAACAATAGTTGTAAAAAATAGATATGATTCTATAGGAGTTTTTTATATAGACTGTTTTTAACTTAAGGAAGAACTATTTAAATATAGTAATTTAAGTTCTCATATAATAATTCTTGTACGTTTAAGTGAATTGTCTTCTTTTTAAATATCCTATTATAATGTACATATAATTAAGTGTAAATGACTTTTATGCATTCGCCAACGTGTCAACATACCCATGACTGATATAGCCAAATGTAAAAGTTAGGATCGCGCGCGCGCGCGAGCGCGCATATACATACGCGCACACACACACACACATACATATACATATATATTTATGCTAAGTATAAATAAATAAATTAAGGATTTTGTTAGGATACCTGGATTTTGTTCCGAGTTTGTCATCTGGTTAGGTGAATTTGTAGAGTATTTTTCGGCGAAACGTTGCGGATAAAAAAAAATAGATTTCCGAAAAACATACTCGGATATGTCTAGAAATCGTATCGCGTTCACCCGATTTCTTACGATACTTACAATGTACGTGACAAAAGAGGCATAAATGTCTCCTGCGGTGTATATAATGTATATTTCCATGTCATGTTGCAAGCAAATAAATTCATTTGCAGTAAGAATACATCGAAAGTTTGATAAATAAAAATCTCTTCCTTCCTTTGCGCATAATTGTCATCATTGTATAGAATTATTAGGGGAGATATGTATAGCAAACGTTGTACAAAACATATTTTATTAAAAAGATCTAGAGATATAGGAAATTATGTGATTCAACACTTACAATAAATCGATTTACATCAGAGTGTCGTTATAATCAGTAAAAAACCGAGGATATGATGATCTCTTATATATATATTTCAATCATGTTAATCTAAGAACACTAGAAAATAAAAAAAATATCTGTACAAATAATATATCAATAAAGAATGTAAAATAGAAGTATATATCGATAAAGTATAAAAACCTTTATAAAATCGAATAAATCGCTGATTCATTTCAAGACAACATTATTGAAAAAAAAGATATTGCAAACGTCTAAACGTCCGAAATATCAATCTGGTACTTTTCCAAGACAATAATTTATCAAATTATACGATATTTCGCTGTTAATATAAATCTTTGCGAAGACAAATGCATTTTATTATTAGGAATTAATTTTTTTATAATCGTGACCTAAGCATCGCTTCTGTAATTTGGATTAAATAATATTTATCATTCTTTCAATTTGTGAAGACTTTACAATGCTTATTCACGCGCACACAAACGTTTTCTCTCAAAGCATTATCCTACAGAGCACAACTTTATCGATGATCAGTCAGTTTTACCGGTTTTTTTTTCGTTATATTTGACGAAATTTCATTATAAAACTTCAACGAAAATGACGTTAATTTGTCGACCCCCAAAATTTCTTAACTTAAATATATTACGGGCTCGACCAAATATATTGTCGATTATGTTACAGTTTATAACAAGCATCTTCGTTGACTTAGCTGTCTCGATCGAAGGAATCTAAAGTGTCGTTGCTGGATGAATGCGCGAGATCACTTAATTCGTCCAAATGCTTCTGTCGCTTCCTGACGTTCCAGTGTAAACATTCGGCTAGAGAATCGAACCAGTCGGTAATTTGGTCGGCCGCGCAAATACTAGGCACTGGATATATGGAAGTAGTTACCCTCAAGCTGAAAAATTATGCAATTTTCATCAAACAATTATCCAATTGATTAAATTGATTGATTGTGAGCGAAAGCTTTTTATGATCATTAAAATTCTCTACTTTTTAATAAACTCATTTGTACAAGCAAAATCTATTTAAATATTTTTATGGCAATAACGTTTAATTAAATAAAAGTTTATATATTTATTTTAATAAAAAGATGTACATATTCTTATACAAGAAAAAGTATTTACTTGCAATGATCTTGTGAAAAGCGAACTTTCAGTTTAGTATTTATGCATAAATAATTTATCGCAAATATAAATAATAAAACATAAAGTACCACCACCCCGCAGGACAGCCAACGTCTCGCTCCAGAAATATGTTCTATTGTCTTAAGAGATAGCCAAGGAGCAAAAGGAATATATTAAAATCCCGAGGAGAACGAATAAGCATAGAATAGATAGAAAAGGTAGAGAATTTGAATATATAATTGTTTACAAAAATGGAAATGAAAATTGCGTATAAATATGAATTGTATATAAATATGCAAGAAAATGGAAAAGGTGTATTAATCAAAATACACTTATAATGAAAGAGATATTGTCACTTTATGCAGTATCTTGCGATACTTTTCGAGCTTTTGAAAAAGAGTAAACCACATGAATATATCGTGTAATGCGACGAGGCATAAATAGAGAGAAAGGCGAAACGACGCCTGCAGTATCTTTTCGAGCTTTTGAAAAAGAGTAAACCACATGAATATATCGTGTAATGCGACGAGGCATAAATAGAGAGAAAGGCGAAACAGGCGAAACG